TTCACAGCCTAGGCAACTGGACATGCTGAGAGACGAGAATATCAGCAATCTCGATGCCGGTGATACTACATTGGAGACTGTACAGAACCGGCTAGCTGATTCGACTATTAGCTCGATCTGTCCCCATTCACCTAATCCCCAATCAGACACTGACTCCGGCCACCCTGAAGTTTGTTATCCAGCCTCTTTCTGTTCTGACCACGACAACCATTACCTTTTCGAATCAATCTCCCCAAGTCTTCAGCCTTGCACCTCACTGGGATCGAGCCAACCTGCATCAATCTGTCCAACTTCAGCTCATCTTTTTGACGTTAAATCATCTGTTTTCTTTTCCTCTCTCTCTTCTTCTTCTGCGGTCGTGGTACCTGTATCGGGGATCGACAGTGTCGAAGTTGGTCGGTTTACTATCACTCGATCCGTAACCGAGCTTTTAACTCCATCCGCTTCTGCCTCTTCTACTTCTGCCTCTGCTGCCTCCTCTTCTGGATCTGCGATGTCGCCGTCAGCTGGTTGCTGGGTGGATCCTCATACTTGTCCTTTGGACTCTGATGTTCAGACAACCAACAGTGATCAAGAGACCGGCGACTCATATTCAAATTCAACGCCATATACACTCCTGTCGGGTGGCCATTCTGATCGCCGTCCTGACGAATTGCGGATCGCACTCATGAATCCCATGGATTCAGGGGCTGTTTCTATGTCTGAACAGCCTACAACGGCGCAGACTTTGACGCCGACCTCACTTCGAGGTACAGGAAAAAGACAGCGGTACCTAAGTGATGGACCTGCCCGACTTACTGAGCTCTGTTTAAGTCCGCAATGCAGAGCACTAGACCAACTTGCTTCGACTGGTCTCTGGCCTTCTGATGCCCATGTTCCTCGTCGTTTGCCCGTGGCCATGAGGCCAGATCCATCGTTGATCTCGGCCGATGCTCCCCGGCGCCGATCAATTGGGCTGCGACCGGTTCGTCGGCGCCGGCACTGCACTGACGCCGGGGTCGGCTGCTGGCCCGCTGGTCTTCTGCCCGTTTCTTCTGGCTCACTAAGCCCTAATCGAAGTGTCGATGATGCCGACATTTTAACGACTGGATCTTCGGTAGCCGATGGTTCAGTAACGTCTGTCAAGAGCACCATGCTTCCTGTCGCCTCAGCCCCAGCCTTTGGGCTGTCGATGGATTCAGTGTGTACTGGATGGGCACTCGGAATGATGCATCACGGTGCACCAGTCGAGCAGTGGTTAATAGAGCAAGCGGAATTGGCTAGCAAGAGGGCTGCATCAGGAGCTGCTAAAGCAGCAGCGGCTGCTGCTGCTATCTTGACCTTAAAAAAGGCTGGTGGAAGCACTAGGGGCAAGACCATGGACATAGCTCCTTGTCTTGCCCCTTGCAGACCAGAAATCTCCAAGCCCAAGAGTGAGCCGGAGGCCGAACTTTTTATCCCACCTAAGGCGTACATCTCTAGGGTTATGTCAAAATCATTCGATTACGCTGGAACTGAAGAGGAGGCGAGGGAGGACGGAGAAGATGAGGATGAGAAAGACGATAGGCAGGAGCAGGAGGAAAAATGGGATGAAAGGCACTTAATGGACGTTGTAAATTCGTCCGGTACAGGAAAGCCAATTGAAGATGAAACCGAGTTTTTCACGATGTCGAATCCACGTGAATCTGTAGTACAAGAAGCTGGCGTCTATAAGCTTATTGACTCCTTGGTGAGGTTGAACCTAAACTTTCTCCCTTTTCCGCTCCTACCCATTTATCAGCTGCGCATTTTTCCTAACATCCGGCCATTTAATGTTTTTCTTTGTCATTCTGAATTATTTCATTTTTCTATTCTTTAACTTATATTGCTGTCGTTATCTGTTTCTGTACGGCTTTATTATTTGTTTTCCTCTGTGTTGAGATGTTATGTCCTAATTTCATCGTTTGAATGAATATTTTATCTTGTCACCTGTTTACATTATTTTCTTTAGCTACTGATCTCGTCCACTCTTCTTCTATCTACCATTTTAAAGTTGCATTTGTTTTATTCGTTCTTCATCTCCATCTCGATGTTCTGTATCTCCCAAGCCCAGGTTCCCAACTGTAAAATGTTATTTTTTCTACTGTAATTCTATACCTATGGTTACGCATTTTAGATCCGAAGAATAACTGAATTTTGATTAATCTCCTGAGATAACATTGTTGGAGAGATCCTCATTTCGTATTAAAGTGCATAAATAAGAGCTTTGTTGGTTGATCTCACCAGAAAATGATGGCTGAACCCCGTTGTACTGCAGTCGTTTGACTTTAATAGACTTTCAGGTTAACGCAGTCAACGAGACGTCCTCCCTCGCTTCGAGTCAAAACATACTGAGCTTTCGTCCATCGTATGATGGACATCATCAAAGCTGGAACTCACTCTCGTAGTAGACTCAGTCCACGAGACATCCTCCCTTGTTTCGGGTAAAAACGGGCTGAGCTTTGGTCAAGCATATGCTGGACATCATCAGATCTGGAACTCATTCTTGTAAAAGTCTCACGTTGATACTAGGTCAAGAAGACTAGCTGGCTCTATCTTACCTCTTATATACACCCAAAACTAAAAACTAAAATGAATAGACATAGATGGATATAGGATGGTTTGTCTTATTATCTTTCATATTGGTCCTGTTACTTTTGCTCGAGTGTGTGTGTGTGTGTGTGATATCGTATATACGCAATACCGGTGGTGGTTTCATAAGTGGATTTACAGGCTTACAAATTTACATCTCATTATCTCAACCATACTTGCTTACGGACTTATGCAGCCTAAGTCATGGCTTTTTGTTTGGTCATTAAGCCTTGATGACCAGAGCCTTGCATCACCTTTTATTTGTTTACTCTGATTTAGGATCTGTATTGAGTATAGATGTTCACACACACAAGTACACACACACACAAACACATAGATATATATACACACTCGAGCAAAACTAGCAGGACCAATATGAAAGATAATCAGGCAAACCATCCTATCTCTTTCTATTCCTATTTACGTTCTTTTTTGGCTATTAGTATATATAAGAGGTAAGGTATAACCGGAGATTCTTCTTGACCTAGTATCAACGTGAGACTTTTACAAGAATGAGTTCC